CTTCAATAGAAGGTTATATAAATACCAATAATTGAAGCTTATATGTAGATTGGGCTTTGCTTAAGTGACAGCGCAATTGCCTGGCCAGATATTGAGTACAGTTAAAGGAGCTTTTATCATGCTTGCCATCCACTTTGATGAGGGAAAAACTGAGTCAAATGCCAGATTTTTTCCATTACAGATCAGCCTCCCTCAATACGCGGCGGGTACAGCAGGTGCTTCTGAACACCGCGCTCTGCCGCGTTCGCTTTTGGAGGATGCAGCAGTAGGATTTAATTATGCGGCTGTTACATGCCAGGCCTGCTAAACGCAGGAAATGCTCCAATTCTCTGCTGTGGAAGTTCGGCATTATTTAGAAGACAGATGATTATATCTGCGGTGTCCTCAATGCACTTTTGCGGTGTTATTTAGAAAAGTGGCTAAAGCGACCCCATTCGAGGGTGTAATTATGGTCCCCGGGCTTGAACCAGCAACCTTGCGGTTTACATCCTTAAACATTACATCAGATTTTTCCCATAATGCTCCTGTCTCTAAAATCAAAAGTGCAGATGAGAGTCACAAGAGGTATGATAATAAATCTGTGGCAGTCTGTGGACTGGAGGCGTGCCATAGTGATGGAATAACAGCACGGGATGGTTCGGTTCCTGAAAACGAAGCTTTTATTGCTGAAAAACCAGACAGGTATGGAAACTACCTACAAGACGTCTAAAAGCCAAATGATACAAAACCAAAGAAATAACTCAAGCGCACCAAAGCTCCATATAATCAGGGCGTTACTCCCGTAACTCCTGAGTGTTGCATAAATCCGCCCAGCTCGCCCTATTTTTGGCTGACAATGTAACCGTCTAATGAAGACCAGCTAGGCTTCTGTCAGCACAATCCTGGTGAAATATAGAATCACTCTCAGTCTGTCTGCCTTCTGCTGACTCGCAGCTATTCAGACCCAACGTCGCTTGATAAATGCCCCAGTTATTTTTTAATGTCTTAAACTGCTTAATTCCCCCTAGTTTTGCTCTAAGCAGCATTTATCTTTAAAAACTGGGTTGTTGTTTGGAAACCTACATTTTAGTACAATTATATTTAGCACTAGCAACCGTTCTGCTGAATACAATACAAGTAGTGCTCTCATGTCGTTTCACCTCAGTGTGATCTATATTTTTATATTCAATTTAAAAACAACGGGGAAAACACTGCAATAAATAATGACACAGAGTCTGCAGTGAGCTGTGCTTCCCCCTGTCCCAGTTCAGACCCCAGGGTTTTTCTGTGCAATATTATTTGAACCACAACAAATGAGGACATTATGTTATACGAAGTTGCGATTTGCCATGACTCAGCAGAAGCAAGCATGCAACAAACTGTGACTGTGACTGGGTTAGGGAGTGCAGCCTTAAGACTGAAAAAGGAGAAAACACAGCCATGTTGAGGGGCAATGTATCTGTTGGAGAACCTTCAGAACATAAGGAGACCAAGCAATGGTATAACCAGTGCCATCCAATGTAAAGGCAATACTTACTGGTTAATTGGTAACGCTGTATTGTATAGGTTAGGAAAAAGAGATGGAAAGATTAACGAAGACCTTTGGATTGACCATTGCCTGCATGCGTGGTGTTGCTCTCAGTCACATGACGGAGACCAGTGTATCTGATTGGCTGCGCTTGGATTTTTAGCGAATTTCTTCATCCTATTCCTGTCCCAGACCCATTACTGGGAAAACCCAGATTAAGATGTCATCTGTCACAAACATAAGACAGGCATCTGTGAAAAAATGACGTAGGTGGCTGCCTCTCTGCCGTCCTGAGTGACAAGTTGGGCCTGAATGTGCATGACACCAGATGGTCAACAGTTCGAATCTTGGGAACAAGATGCGCAACGAGCTGCTTCAGTATAAATATCCATCTGTATAAAAGGCAAGAACTGTCTATTAGCCGTTTCAAACATTTGTAAAAAAGCATCTGTTAAGCAGATAAATAATGCAGAAAGTAAACTAACTGACGTGGCTTAGTGATGTATGCAGAATGGACCCCATCTGGGGCTCCCTGACATCTGCTAGGAACATCGTGAGAGGTGATCCTCAGAGAGCGAGAACGCGCCCAGCTCGTCCACGGGGAACCACGTGCTGATAAACACCTTCTGCTTTCCGGCCTAGTGCTAACACAGCCATTTATCATGCTCCCGCTCCTTAATGGAACCAAAACAGAACAAAAGTCGCACAGTGACCCTTGAGAATGGGTCGCATTTAACTGGCTCTAACGGATGGGCATCTACTTCCTGTGTCCCATCTGCCATACATGGCCGTCTCTCGCTGAAGCAGCACTTCTCTTCCTTGGCCGCTCGATAAACGACTGTGAGAGAGGCTCCAGCGAGCAGCTGGGGTTCTTCAGGAGTTCGACTTTGCTCCTCAGCATCGCCGGCCGCGTGGATCCGGGGAACAGCCAGATGATGTAATCCGGGCCACCTTAAGCAAAAAAAACCCCAGAGTCCTACTTTTGGTGGAAGCTGATGTGCAGAAGTTTCTAGAAGCTGACTAGTCTGAGGAGACAGCTTCAAATTCATCCACGAGCCTGAGAGTCATGATTTACCCTCCCTTTCAGTTTGGTTCTAGGAGAGCAGATACACAGTAGCGACAGATGAGCGCGTTGAATGTGCATGAGGATTATGGTACGACGCCACACGGGCCTACGAACACCTGCCAGTCGCACGGTAATCTCGGTAAAGTTTATTAGAAACCCCCCGAGTTAGACATCAGAGCTCCTCCAGACTGCTCAGCTCATAACACAATCTCAGCCCAAATGTCACATCCGTACGAAGAAGGACAAAAACCTTGCTGGTTCAGTCACTGCCCCAGAGGATGAGGAAGAGAGACGGGCTGAACTGTCTGTAGATGGACCTGGGACCTGTTAATTAACTTTAATGACAGTGTATTATGGTGGGGGGGGGGGGGGGACTTTGCTGGCCTGCTGCCCTGACTGTGTGTGCGCTCTCCCCCAGATGGGGGCCTGGAAAATGGCCCCATGACTGCTCAGATGGTTTCTGTTGCTGGCCCGGAAGATGAAGACTTCCAACATCTTAGAAAAGCAGAGAGCTGTGTGCCATTTTGGTTCCAGGCTTGGTTCTGGGCAGGGAATAATCACAGGGTGTTTACCTCAGGCCTCCAGTCGGGACGATCTGACTGGCTCCCCATTTTCATTCAGCATTTTGGACAGCAGGTCTGGATCGAGAAAAAAGAGGTCCAGTCCAAGTAGGGTGACCCGCATTCGGGCAATCCAAGTAACTGGGAGGTGAAGAAAGATGGAAAATTATGACTTGGGTGATCAACACAATGGGGCCACCTTGTGACTGGGTCCCAACCATGTGCTCAGTTAATGAAAAATCAGAAGCTTCCATGCAGCACAGAAGTGAAGCCACCTGAGATAGGTGCTGTCAAAATGCCTGTCACCTCCTCAGCCACAGTGCCACCCATACACAACTAGAAAGGAGAAATGTGACTAAAATCATTACTTAACTGAGATGCTATATTGTATCAACACATAAAAGACCAACTTTTCTGCTAATAAGTACTCTTGATGCTGGTTTTTTTGATCCATCTGCATCCTTCATCTCCAGCATTCTCTGGTGCCCCAGTGATCGACCGCATTAAATGCCAGAACTCCTCCAGCCAATACGTAGCATCAGTGCAGTTGCCACGGTGGAGAATTACCCGCCAGTGAATAACTCTTACCCTTAACAAAAGGTGGCTGATTCCTCTCCGGTAGCAAGTGTCACGGTAGTCAGGGAGCGGGTTAAGGTTCCTACCTGTATCGTCCGCTGTTAAACTCCCCGTCCGTCTCCCAATCGCTGTATCATGACGATGCGATTGCAGTCCGGAAGAAATGTTACAGATCTGCAGCTGTGCAGTTACTTTAGACAAACACATTTGCACACCTTATAGTGATACCATGTATAAGAAAACCAGAAGACATAGGAATCCTGAGGCAGAATCAGGTGACCAGTCAGGTGACTAGCTATTGGTCCAACTGTAGCCATTCCACTTCTGTTTCTCTCTCTCTCTCTCTCTCTCTGTGTCTCTCTAGACAGACCCCCACCACATTCTTTCCTTGTGTTTTGGTTTGCAGACCCACCAATCAGAATGGTTGCCCTTTGCATGACTTTCTGATGAGCTGACGGAAGCAAATCTTGCACCACTTTTTAGTCATAGCCCCTGAAATTTGCTTGATAAAATCAACAGAATGTAAAACATGAATCAAGAAGGAACAGAAAAACCCTAAAAATAATTTTCTTTCTTCACTAAGCTATTGAGCTTAATTGGCATGAGATCACCCCATCCACCCCCACATTGGGTGAGGCCAATACCACTAGGTGGCAGTATTCCTATCAGCACGCTGGAGCCAGCATTCACAGTGCCAGGCGACTGCTGAAGGTGGTTATTTAAGTTTCAGCAGCGTGAGCGTACATGCTGATTGCACTGGGCCCGTCTGATGGCACGCAAGCTGCTCTCTGTTCAGACCCAGAGCGGTGTGCAGACATTAAAGCACTAAACACTGCGTATGCATGCGAGCAAACCCACTCAAGGCATTTGATGTGAGTCCCATTTCTTTTTTATTTCAGATCATGTGACAGGTGAATGATTCTACATGCACATGATGTTTTTCTGAAGTGGGAAATGTGTGGTGCCTATTAGCTGTGCAGAATGTCTTGACTGAGCTTTTAAAAATGTGACATTTGTGGCTAGGAGGTACAGCTTGCTGTAATGTGAAAACTGTTATTACTTAAGGCTGCTGGAAGCCACCCGTCAAGCTAAGCTAATAGGGATCCACGTGATGGGTGTTGGGGGGGGGGGGGGTTGACGAGGCCTGAGGGAAGGCAGACTCTGCTCATGGCTGGTACACTGTTCCTCCTCGCTTTCTACTCGTGCAGTCGGAGATGTGGAGGGCCACCTGGCCTTGCCTTTTGTTCTTGCATGGGATGAATTCGGGAGGGAGACTTCAAGGTCACGGAGGCCTCAGGTTTGGACTCTGAAATGAGTTCTCCTTTGAGGAGGCGGTAACAGGAGATGGCCATCAACTCTGCAAATAGATCCCGGAGGACAACATTCTGTTACAGGCAGTTTCGATAACATCGGCCTGAAAATAACAGCGGAGCTACCCTTCGCCATCCTACCGTCTTCCATAACTGTTTGTCCCATGCAGAAACACAGTGATCCTGGTGCCCGTCTTGGGAAGCACCGGGAATGATGGTGGGGACACTTTTGATGGGATGGCAGTCCATTACAGTATGGGAGATCTGGAACAGTATTATGGACTATTGCGGACTGAAAGTACAGTATTATGAAGATAACATGCAAACTCCACACACAGACAACCAGGGCAGGAGCCAAACCCACAACCCAGGAGAGGTGAAGGTGCAGCGCCACTGACTGAGCTCCCATGCTGCCCTTTGGATGCTTATCGTCTATTCGTTTCTCAGCCAGTTGTCCCAGTTAGGGTCACAGGGGGACTGGAGCCAATCCCAGGCAGCACAGGGTACAGATGAACCCAGAGATGCCAGTCCATCCAAGGGCACACACACCTGGGCTAGCGATAATACACTACGGGCAGTTTAGAGATGCCAGCTTATCTTCCAGCTCTTTGTAAATATTAGCAGGACGCTAGCGTTTGAAAAGTAAGCACGTGTTTTAAAATGGTGCCAAGTGTTGACATTTAAGCAGGTTCTTTCCTAATCCTCTTTCCATGGCTGTAGCCCGTCAGGCCGTGCATTCTGCAGAAGAGCTGCGCAGCTTCCAGATCGCAGAGGGCCGCAGCCATTGCAGTCACATGTTTCTTGTTTCACCCTCCCGAGGTAAGCTAACTGGGGGCTCCAGTCTTCTGTGGCCTGTCCCTCCCGCCCCTTGGCTGAACCCTTTGGCTGCAGTAATTTGCCAGTGCCTGGGATAGCCAATCAGAGTCTCTCTCTCTTTCAGACCAGCCAGGATGATCAATACTCCATATTAGGACTAAGCAGGTTTATTGATATTTTATACCAGTGTTTCCCAACCCGGTCCTCGGGGACCCACAGATGGTCCACATCTTCTGCACCCTCATGGCTGCCTGCCAGACAGTCCACATCTTCTGCACCCTCATGGCTGCCTGCCAGACAGTCCACATCTTCTGCACCCTCCTGGCTGCCTGCCAGACAGTCCACATCTTCTGCACCCTCCCAGCTACTAGTAACAAAAACATGGACTGAATGTAGGTCCCTGAGGACCAGATTGGTAAACTCTGTTTTATACACTGATGCGGGTGTTAAAAAAGCTCGGGTCTGTGACAAAGAGCTGTACCTGCGGAACGCTGCAAACGCTTGGGGTCGGTCGGGATTTGTCCTTGTCATCCATCCTCTGTCTTTCCCCATTGTGCTGCCTCCCCCTATCGTTCCCCTCTGGTGCCACATCTTTCTTTAATATAATGTCAGATTTCTTAGTTGTCGTTTTAATTCAGTTGTTAATTTTTATTTTAATCTTGACTTAACTTCACTCCGCCTGGGTTACACGTGTGTTGCATGTTCTCCCCGTGTCGTCGTGGGGTTTCCTCCGGGTACTCCGGTTTCCCCCCACAGTCCAAACACATGCTGAGGCTGATTGGAGTTACTAAATTGCCCAAAGGTGTGCATGTGTGACTGAATGGTCTGTGAGTGTGCCCTGCGATGGGCTGGCCCCCTATCCTGGGTTGTTCCCTGCCTCGTGCCCGTAGCTTCCGGGATAGGCTCCGGACCCCCCGCGACCCAAAAAGGATAAGCGGTTTGGAAAATGGATCGATGGATGGATTTAACTACGATGCTGAAAGGAAGTATGCGAATGGAACTTCACAGGATTTTAAACTCTATGTATATGTATCTTAAGGGCCAAGCTCTGAACTCATGTATAAGTACACTGCTGGTCGTACTACCCTATAACAATCAGAGCTATAGTACTCATGCATGTGCAGCATGGACAGAATATGCAACACACACACACACACACACACACACACACAGAGGTTTGTATCTTTGTGGGGACTTTCCATTCATTTCTATGGGAAAACTCTAATCCGACAATGACAACCTTACCACCTACCCAGCCCTATTCTTAACCATGAGCAACCAAACAAAATACAAGACTTTTGGAATCTGCAGTTCCTTTACGGGGACCATTAAGGTGCTCCCCACAACATCAAAATAACAGGTTTTGATCACATTGTAGGTACATGACTCACATAGAGATACATGCATAGATCCAGGGCCGGGAATCGACCCCATGCCGCTGAAGGCACAACGCTACAGTGTAACACACTAAGCCACCATGCGCCATATTTATTTGCTGAGTGAATAAATGTCGGTGAGAAATACAGAACATACAACTTCATCCACGGCTACAGGCTGGCATTTGCTTAAGCAATTCCCTGCACACGTGCATTGCTTAAGGCAGAAAGAGCTGAGCTCCTACTGGCAGCGTAAGGGCAGAGGGATCACGCAGGGATGGGTAACCCTTTTGCCCCCTCCCCGAGATCATCGCGAGTGCCCGGTCGGCTGGAGCGGATCTGTAAAATAACCAAATCGATGAAAACATATCGATCGCAGCACTGACCATGAACTTGTCCCGCCGCCCTTGCGTGGCTCCGGAGGCGGCGGTGAAACATCGGTGTGGCTGCTTCTGGAAAATCGATCTCACGGGTGACGCCGCAGGCTTCAGTGTGCACGCCCTGCACGTGCGTGGCTCTCCGCACGGCATCCTTCTAAGTGTAATATGTCAGATATAAGCGAAAAATGCTTATTCGAAGGTTTGTCCGTATAAAACCGCTGGAGAATTTAACGCCTAGATGTAAGCCATGTCTCGGGTAGGCCCTGATATGTATTACAAAGCCAATGGTAAAGTAACGAATATAACACTTACTTTATGCCTGTACCAGCGGGACAGGATTAAAAGGCAGTGATTCTCTGTTCTGTTAACTTAGATTCCATTTCAGCTCAATTTCATGTGTCACCCCACCCTCACTGCGAGCTTTCGTTATGACAAATTGATTAGGTTAGAGTGGAGCTTACGGATCGCCTCGCATTTGCTGTATTTTACCGCTGGAGATGAGCTTAAAACAATAGGGAATTAGCATATTCATTTCACATCAATCAAGGCGGCGGCTGCCAGTCCCCTAAAGCTATTTGTCTCGTTAGCGGCTGGTGTGGAGCAGAGCCCCTCGTGTTTGTTGCGGGGATAAAGTGGCAAAACTTAGCTTTCCTGTAAACCGGCATTTTCTCTCACCCTAATTGCCCCCTGATGAATGTGGCAGAGCCTCCATAGGGCTGTAATCCGAAGGACTTTGCCTCCGCCGGGGAGCGCTGTGCCTCTGTCTGCCACACTGGCGACATCCATCAGTCCCAGAGTCTGGAGGTCTTAGCGGGCCAGTCTTACAGGTGAAACGTCTTCCGTTAAAATGTCAGCACTGACTGGTATGTGGTTTTTAGAAAAGGAACAAATTCTGAATAATGTCTAATGCGTCTCCCAATGTCTCTGACTCTCAGTATCAGATGTAAAATGTCAGACGTGAAAATTACAAGTTGGATTTTTAAATTTTTGCACAACTGCTGTTTTATTGCCTTTTCCGTGCCTAAATTAACATGTTGTACCCATAATAACATACATACACACACACACGCACACGCACACACACACACACACGCACATGTTGGGTAAACATCTTTATGGGGATTGCTCATTCACACACACACACACACACTGACACAAGCATACAAACATACACATGTGGACACACACATGCATACGTACACACACACACACACACACACACACACACACGCACACACACTGAGTCATGGCTGCTCTATGTAAATGTATATTAACATCAGTCAGTCATTTCACATTGCTGTGATCAGCCCTGTAAATGTGACTGACCTATAGCATTCATTTTAATGTAATGATGTTTGTGTTTGTGAGTTGTAAAATATGGACAATTTTATGGCAGTGCAAAAAAGGAAACTTAGAGTGAGTGAATAAAGCAGCCAAAGGCAGGACTTTATAAAAACACAACATTCTGCGATGCCAAGTGCTTTTGCAGTGCGGTGAATGCGGTAGCTGCCTTTCCCCCACAGAACACTGCCCCTGACACATTAAGCAGAAAACAAACAAACAAACTGCTTTTTTCCCCTTACTTTTCCCAAGTCTTGTAAGCTTCCCTCGAAAAAAGGTTTCAAAGAACAAATACGCAAAACCGTTTTCCCTTATAGAACATCCTGCACATGGACAAATCACATTGTCAAGTATTGCTGCAGTGTTCCAGCCAAAAGAATAGGCTGCCTAAATACGGCAAGGCCAATTCCTCTGTCCTAAGTACATTTGGAACACAACAAAAGAGAAAAACAACATAAAGTCTGTTTCTCTCATTTTTTTCTGTAGAGCCTCCATGGTCCAGAAAATACATTATAATTCAGATGGTCTCCTGCTGACAGTAATGGTCCAAAATTTATCTGGCGGAACAAAAACTAATTGACTGAAGTAAGTGTTTCGGCCCGGTCTGGGGTCAGCCCATAACACGAAAGAGAGTGACAGTGTATGACGTCGAAATGCAAACATTTATTGGTACATTAAATGGATCGTGGCAATATACGATTAACTGAAGGTGATATGATAGGAGAGAAAGATGATAAGTATGAAATGCCAAAAAGTGCATGTGTGTATGCGTGGAAAAAGGCATTAATTGGCACTAATACAACTTAAGCACCTGATAAATTCAGTACAAGAAGAAAGAAGTGAAGCGTAGCCACTGGTAACAGCGACTTGAAACAAGGAGCAGAACTTTGATTCATAAACACAAGAAGAGCTATTATTTAAAATGCATTAAAATACATGAGGTCGGTTAAAATCCATTACCAGCATATACCACCGGCAGAGGCAGAACCTTTTTCAAACTTATTGACTTTAAACAAAATATATTTAAACATTTTTAATAAAATTGCAATCAATACATAGCTCTCTGGTATCAAGCTTTATTGCAGAATAACTTCTGCGTCTGGTCCCTGGATTTCACAGGGTGAGCTTTGATTGGTTCGTATCGATGTTCTGCTTTTGGCATGTGTCATGTGGGGAGGGGGGCTGACTGGGAACAAGGGGTCCTGCAGTCAGCAGAAGGCGATGTTGCACTTCTGACAGCGTTGTGATTTCATAACATGGGGGGGAGAGGCAAGGGGTGCCTTGCGTCATCGGTGCCATTTATAGGTGATGTCTGCTTGGGGTGGGGAGACAGGAGGTACTGACATGGAGGAGCAGCGGACAGGCAGGAGAGAACAGCTCACACACACACGCACACATGCACGCACACGCAGGCACACACACACACACACGCACACACACACACACACACACATGCACGCACGCGCAGGCACACACACGCACACACATACACACACACACACACATGCACGCACGCGCAGGCACACACACGCACACACATACACACACACAAATACACACACACACGCAGGCACACACACACACACACACACATGCACGCACACACAGATTTGTTATTATATCTTTGTGGGAACTCTCCATTCATTTCTTTGGGGAGAACTCTAATCCCAACATGATGACCCTCACCCTACCCAGCCCTAACCTTAACCAAAAGTAACCAAATAAAACCCAAGACTTATGGCATTTTTATTTTTTTGATAGCATTCACTGGAAAATTGTCCCCATAACGTCAATATAACAGGTTTTTATTACATTGTGGGGGACATTTGGTACCCACAATGTAATATAAACCTAATTCACACACACACACACACACACACACACACACACAGGAAAGATACCTAACAATACTGATTCCTTACCACTGCTGAAACACAAAATCCAAGTTCTTACAAAACTTCAAAAATCAAAGCAGATTAATTCCTGGGAGAGTAAAACAGGTGTTCCTTTCATGGGGGAAGGTCCCTAGATTGTAACACTACATCTATTACACTGAGCTGTCACTGGCTGAGAAATTTTTGTCAACACTACAACGATGGCAAACCCTGCATATAGACACAGGCTGACACAAATGCTTATTGCCTTGATATTTCTCCAAGAAGCCATTTTCCGAACATTTCTCCAAAGCGTCTAATCCTATATTAACAAGATTCTCACACTCTTTTTTGTGTTACGTTTCAACAGACATATTTCAAGACCCCCCCCCAAGACTCTTTACAACCTTCTGATGTTATGCACCCACATTTGCATAATGAATCCCTCTGTTTATTGCAAAATCCTGCATTTATTTCACCGAGGGCCATTAAACCTTCAGTAGCAGTAAAGAACATAGTGACCAAAGCAGACTACCAAATTAAAATGCAAATGCGACTTAATGGTGAGGTTTCGCATTGTTTCAGCCAATATAACGCTGGCCAAACAGGTAATTCACAGTCTCGCTTGGCATGGCTCCACAGTAACTCTTTTTGTGGAGGACCAGCTAGTACAATAAGGCAGAGAGAGGCAGAGGATGACCCTCACATCTGTAACATTGTGTTCCCCAATTCTGTGTCACGAGAGGCTGAAGAGTGGCGAGTAGAACATGACACACGCTGATGATGTCACCGTCAAGGGACACATATACATAATTATGAGCAACGCTTCACACAGGAACCAGGGAGAGGTTTTACAAAAGCAAACAGTGGGTGAATGCATGAGGAACCCAGTAAACAGTGAAACATTACGTTTCATCTTGCATCCGGTGTGCATCAGCAAAAACATATAGGTCTTCTACAGCAGAACTCTTACTGCTTACGAATCCCTTCAGCAACATTATTACAACCATTACAGCCATCAGTACCATTCAGGTACAAGTAAGAATTCTTCTTTTAGAACCTTCTACATATTTCTTTAGCTCACTGTAATTTTGGTTTAAAACTTCAAAACCAATTAAATGAAAACCATTAAAATTGGCAAATACTGAATAAAATGTTCTTTAGAAGCATTTGCCTTTCGTGTTTCTTTCCCCCCATACTGTTCCTTGGATCTAAATTATTTTTTGAGCAATTTATACCTTGATCACTTTGTTTGACATGGCATGTAATAACAGAATTTTTGATCAGCTGATAACTCGCCCTTAAAATATTTCTGCGTTGTTATTAATAAGATGATACTTCAAAGGCTGTAGATGACATTAAAAGATATTCAGGCTGATGCAAGAGAAGACTGATTATTTTGCACAAAAAGTACAGACACATTAGGTTAAAGAAATATTGCATATCTGCTTCTCTTTCAAAGGTTGTCTCCTGTCTCCCGGTAAATTCTCACCTGCTTGACCCTGGATTTGTTTGAAATATGTATGTTTGAACATGAAACATGGTCACATAATTCGATAAGAGAAAGACGACACTGAAGTTTATTCAAGCAGGTAACTTGATTAGGGTCACACGTTAAATGTTTCCAAAATGTCATTACTGATTAACGCAAAAGGTATTCTGTGCTGGCATCTGCATAGCAAACGTTTTGCCATTTTTCACAAGCGTGAGTCACATTTTGCAAATAATTTCACTAAAAGGTTCAGTTGTGTGGCCAGGTCTTTCTGAATTATCCTTACTGAGTGTTTGTGTGTGATTGTGTCATCAGTCTTCATTATAGATCCTGTCTTGTTATGTGCTTCTGCCTACACTGGATGCTCTTGTATGTGTGGCAGATAAAATGTTTGGTCAGAGCCC